GCCTGTGCAAAGACAAGACCACTGTGCTGGAACCCTAGCTGGAACTGGAAGTTGGTGGAGAAAACGAAACATCACAAAACACACACACAGACAGACAGACAGACACACACACACAATGCTGTGATTGTTTGTTTTTCAACGTCCTGAACATTTCAACCAATATTCGGGCTTCAGCAAAATCTTTTGGGTTTCTCTCCACAGTCCTGTTAATGTGAAACTGTCCTCAACGTAGATGCGCGCAGTGATGTCCGGTCGAAACGATGCACTCGTTTCCGAGAAATAGAGCCGCGTTTCTTGCGTGGTTTGTCCAGCAATGATGGTCATGGACAAACCCAAGTGGAAACCCAAAGAACCAGGAATACAATGGTTGTTCCAATATGGCAATTGAATGCAATTGGTTGCCTTTCCAAATAGAAACAAAAGGCAGGACGACTGCAGGACGACTGCAGTGCTCCGTCGGTTTGCACTGCGGCTCCAGACCGGTGCGGACTCTTCGGCGGACCAAGATCTTCCGTCGCGTCAAGGGAAGGTAGATGATTCGGGAAAGCACTGGGACACATGAAGCGTTTTTGCCGGATTTGAAAACACCATGTTTTTTCCACCATGAACGGCGTTGGTTGTGGGGGGCAAGACCGCCCGGGCGCTTCCGGGCGCTCTTCGCGGTGGAGCAGGTGCCGGCGCCGCTTGCACCGGCCGTGAGTGGAGACTTGGAGGCGGGTCAGGTCATGTTCGTCTCTCTTCTTTCTTGTTGCACTTCAGCCATTTTTTCAGCTCTTTTTCCGAGGGTGACCTCTTTCCACGGTGCTGTCTCGATGGGGCACAAATCATTTGTTCTGGTTTGGCCCTCCCTTTTTTCCGCGTCAAAGTAGCAAAGCCTGCAATATTGCCAGCGGACTGCTGGGTTGTGTGTTTTTTTTTGCTGCGGGGTGGAGAGGAGGGCGACTACACGTACGTTCACGTGGCATTGAGATCTCTGAGTTTTTCCCCCATTGTTGTTCTTCCACCAAAGTTCACCATGGGGATGCTCATTCTTTGCTTTGCAGTGGATGAGTTCAAATCTTTCACCTTCTCACAGACCGGATTGCCCTCGTTTGGCTGGCCTTTACCGCCTTTGCCTTTATTTGTATTCAAAAAAACGACTAGTGAACATGCTCTGCGACACCGGAGCGCAGTTGCTCATCACAGCGCGCTCTCTCTCTCTCTCTTTTTGCTGACTTGTGGCTTCCAAGCAGCAATAGCATGCTCAAGTGGTTCTTCAACTCCGAACCGTGGGCTTGTGTTCGGTACATAGCCGCCCGATCATTTTCAGCCAAGAAGCGCTCACGGTTCAAGTAGTTTCATGCAGTCCAACTGACGTGTACATCTAGAAAAGATCAACACCCCGCCTAAAATTATAGCCAAAGTGAAAGCTTTGTCTATGATTTTCTGCTCATCCACATCTTCTATGTGGCACTGACACGGTCTGAGCGAAATCCCGGCCACATCGATTTCAGGCAGACACTTCTGGAGGTCCTGAGCGCAACAAGTAGATATATTTAATATGCATTGTTTTTTCAGACAGAAGAGGGGCAGAACAGGGTTCGCAAGTTTCGCTGGATGATGCAATGTAAGGGTATTTGCAGTATGGGCAGAGTTCTTTAAGCTAAAGTCTCCTTTTTTTGTTTGTCCATTGACTTGTACAGGGCATTGGGGTTTAAGTCAGATAGCGCGAGTCCGCTGCGGGAACTTGGGGGCAAAAAGTCGCGATGTCTCGATTTCAGCGGCTGGTGCAGTCCAAACTCATCGAGAGAGCTGTGTTTTGATATCAGGTTCAATCTTGATTTGAACAAACATGGGCCGCCGTGCATTCATCACAGATCTACAAAGAGTGGTGGTTGAGATCATGATTCAACCCCGTTTGAAACTTGTGCTTTGCAATCTCACCTGAGCAAATTTGGGTCCTTATTTTTGGGTTTATATTCACTTTAAAACAATATGACAGATGTTGAAGGGATTTGCAATAACTTTGTGGTGACTGCAGTGCTTGTTGTCAAATCAAGCGCGGATACGGCGTCTGTTGGAGTCAGACACTGCTTTGCAAGGCGTGATGCCCATCAATACCCTCTGACTTTTTGTGGAAAGCCAGCTGTTTGTAGAGGAAGCTCATCAAACAGCCAGCTCATCAAACCGCCAGGCCTCAAGCCATGACCATTGAGACAATCTTCCAGTGGTTCCAAAATGCTGTAGGGGCCTTGGTGGGTTCGGCGTGGGTGGGCCCTAGGTCGTGGGGCTGCTGTTTTACTCGTCTTGAACATGCACTCGGCTTTATAGCACTTGGATCGCTCTCAAGATCTTGTTACGGGCACTTGCAGAAGCGGAGCCCCCGCAACTTCTCAAGAGTGGTTTCTGTAATCGCTTAAGTCTCGCCTAAGTCTTGTGCTCCGTGGCCACTGGTTGCTACACTCCGTGGGACTAACCTCCATGCCGATCATTTTGCGCCCGGGCGCTGGAGGCTGACCAGGACTCGGCCAAGCCGGCGGCCCAGTCGAGCGGGTAGGGACACCCAATCTGTGCGTATGAAGCGATGTCTATCCGAGATGTTTTGTGTTAATTAGACAAAGATTTACAGAAAAATATAGAGACATGTTTAGGTGCTTGTGGGGAGGATCGAGCTTTCAGGTGGTCAAGTGACTCCTCTCGTTTGATCCGGCCAAGGATTCCCAAGGACTCGCCGAAGAATGGATGGCGATTGGACATGGGTTAGTCCATCCTAAGGTGCGCAATGTGATTTCTGCCCAGTGCTCAGTGCTCTGAGTGATGAGGAGCCTTGGTGGATGTTTCGACCGTGGCGATGTTCAGGCTTGGTGTTCCATTGATTATTGACATTGAACGCCCAAATCACATCAAATCACCCCATGTTGCATGTGAACGTCCTGAACACAAGCACGGGTCCTGAAAGTAGTCGCCTCTCAAAAGAATCAATCCGCCCGTCACACACCAGCGGTAAACTCAGGGTATATTCTTTGCAGTCCTTATTCAAGCGCTCCCTCCACTGAAAACACTGCAAAGAAGCACGCGGAATCCAAATCAGTGCACGAATCAAACAGGAGTTCCACCCTGTTCCACCCAGTGTTCCACCCTTTTTCCGACCCACACCCTTTGGGGCCAAACAGGCCAGGTCCATCCAGGAACTCTTGGTCGATCCTGTTGATTGGTCCTTGAGCCCTTCTTTTTCTGGCAGGGGGATTGGGGGAAAGGGGAATCAGCAAGCCTGCCATGGTGCAAAAGAGTAACATCTATCACCTATGGAATACGATCTGCACATGGAGACCAGGATAACAGGCCTGACTGTTTGGTGTGTTTGTGTCAGAAAGGGTACGTGTTTTGTGGGAATCTCATGGGGCTCCCAGTTCTGGATCCTGTCGTTCTTTGTTGATCCATGCAGAAGCTCGGTTGATAATCATCCCAACTCACCTAGCCGACGAAAGCCCTTCAGCTGTCAACAAGTGAGACGAACACAGCTGGACATTCTGTGAGACAAACTTTGGCCGACCTTCATCTGGTAGATCGGCATTCAGCAAGTGCATGGGCATTGACACATATGGCCTGCAACTAGTTGTAGGCCAGCGCCCTACAAAAAGACAATCCAAAAAGCCGGACCAGGCCGAGCCAAGGCTGGGCTGAGAACGCCTGACGAGTGGACGTGTTCAACAATGGTCTAAAAACCCTCTTCATTCACTGGTTGAAACTGAAGAAGTCGAACTGAAGCCACGTGCCTATGCTGAGTCCATAATTAGAATCTAGTTAGAACCACAAGCCGACCTGTATAAAGGCCCTTGGACACTTGAAATTCTTTTTTATGTTTCTAGACCAAGACCGTCGTCCACCAGCCCCACAGACTCGATATTCTGTTTGCAACATTGATAGCGTGATCGACCGCTGGGTGGGACCACCGACCACCGAAGACAGCGCTTGCCAGGAGTTCTGGCAGTGGCGGGGCCAGCGTTCTCGCGCCTCCTGGAACGCAGCATTTGCAGCAGCAGAGCCCCGGCATTGGCAAAAAACAGAATTCGCAAAGGAGTCAGCCGAAACCTCGGGCACTTGATCCTGTTGATGGGTGCTGCTTGTCACACGTCGCGTGCCCATCACCGCCATCGCCTGAAGGAATCAGTTAACAAACGGGCATGAATCTGGCAGGAAGAAGTCCTTTGTTGATCCCCGAAGATATTTTCCATCACGTTGTCTAGCATGCGTGGCCGAAAAGCTTCAAAGTACACTTTGCAAGTCTTGTGGAGCTTGGGCTCCTCCGCGTCTCTTGCGAATCTTAGTTTCACGGCAGGTCATTTACAGGAAACGTTCCATCCACAGTGAACGACAATGAGTTGCGAAATATGAAGGAACACGTTGTCGAAGTCCAGTCTATAAAGCAAATTGTACACCCAGCCATTAGACACAAAAGAAATAAGGATGTTTCAACGACTCACCGTCACCGGGTGATCGCAACCGAATCTGGTAAACCGTAAAGCCGTGACGCAGGGTACTCGAGGTAGCTGAGGTACTTCTGCAGGTTTGTAGGAGCCAAGGTGTGCAGCCGAGGCCGCTTGGACACATGTGCTTTGGGGGAACAGCAAAACCCCACATAATGTAGGCTGTTGATAGACAATGTAGACTCTTCATTAAAGAGCCCTCCATATGAAGAGGCTTTACAATTCATATGAAGAGGTCTTCCGTAGATATTTGTGTGCAGTCACGGGGGGGCGTGCGCGTTGACGGTCTTATTAGAATCAAGAGTCTGCAGTAACGTGGAGACGTGCTTGGTGATGTGTCACCTTGCATGCCCGCTCGCCCGGTCCGTTGTCCACAGAGGATGTGACTTCAAGACGCGCGTGAGGTGCTGAGAGAGAGCAAAAAGGCGTGAACCGTGAATATAAAACAATTTAGGAAGCACACACACGCTTGTTCAGTTGCGCAAAAACAAAACACCACATCAGCAAAACCTGAAGCACGAGCCGGCGGCGCCAATGGGCTTTTCGGAAGCCTACTTCCACCAGGAGTGACTAGGCTTTTGATTGGAACTTATGGGTGGATGGCAGATGCAATCAGCAGGACGTGAATCGAAACTACATAGATCGTACAACATCAGAATCTTGGCCACGGTTTCTTCTGATTGGCACCAGCTACTCCTGTGCCTCCTGTCAGCCTAATTTGGGTTTGCCAACACAACGGGCGCCGCAACTCTCACCCGAATGTCTTAGCCCAAGAGGCACGGTCTAAAACACCAGGGGCTAGGATTTAACTAGCGTGGAAAGCTGGCCTGCAAAATCGACGTTGCACGAATTGGCATGTTTTGTGTCACCCGGTATGCTGTTATCTGGATCATAACATATCAAAAATTTGGGGCCATCTTTCTTTCAGGTAGACTAGAGCTCTGGCCTTGGTACCTTGTTGGTCTTAGGTGTGGATGGAAGATGTTCGAGTCACAGGCGCGCGTTTGCTTCGGGATAAAACACCTGGCATGGTTCGCACAGCCTGTGGAGTGAGTGTTTTGCATGGAACGGAATTTAAGTCTGAGAAATCTTCATTGTGCCGAATCAAGGGTCTTGATGCAATTGCATCTGGGGGCCATTGGAGCTGGAAATAACACTAGATTCGGTGTGTCGTTGGTGTGCTTTGGTTCTTTTTCAGTGCATGTCATCACCAAAACAGGCCGCCAAACCGCAGGAGGAAGCGACCGCGCGAAGGCTCGAACCAAACGAAGGGGTGAAGAGACTGACGTGGTGAGCCTTTGGGGTGTGGACACATCTGGGTCCGAATGGCTTTCCTCAGGGTACGAACTCTGGGCATCTGGGGGGGTGCTTTGGTTGATGGATAACCGATGCATTGGCAGGAACACATTTTCTTTCCGAACCCTATTCGGTGCGTTCGTTTGCTATTCGGTTCTCATCATCGGTGATCATACTGGACATGCGTGTGCAGATGAACACCGTCTGACTTTGCACAGTGTTCGTCATGTAAACAAGGGAGTCTCTCTCAAGATGGACGTCCCCCTCAAAAGCCGGCAAGTTTGACACCAAAGATCTGGGATACACGCACAGTCCATCCCACACCTGCCAGGTTTCGATCGTTTAGTCTTTTGGCCGATTCGTTTCGGAGGTTTTTCCTCGTCCCACTCGTACCACTTTTCACCAGGAGGGTCGAGTGAAGTGGAAGAAGGTGAAGAAGAAACGGAGGATCCGGCCGCAGGCGTCGCATGGCAAACGCGGTCGCGTAGCGGTCGCGTAGTGGTCGCGTCGCGTTCGGGTCGCGCTGTGGGAGACGTGGTGTTGGAGACGCGGCGAAAACGGCTCGAGCCGTTTCTTTTTCTGGTGCTGCAGGCCAACCGTTGTAGTCTTTACAACGTTGCGCAGATGGTGTTTTGATACTGTTCGTAACCTTTCATGTTTTCCGGGCGTTGGTTGACAGTTGACAGGCAATTTGGTCTATATCATATGTCTATATAGACATTTGTCACAGGATGGCATCAACTATTATGTCAGTGAATGAACATGAATGAGCCACGGGAAGTTCTTGGTCACAATTGAAATCCCCTGAGTTTTCAAAGTGCGCAGTAAAGTTGAACACTTCAGACCCTCCGGTTATGTCCACTGGTGAGGCTTTTGCAGCCACAAACGTCATGAAAATCCAAAACCCAAAGATATGTTGGACACGGCCAGACTTGGGGTCCTGCTATTTTGCTTGATGATATACTGTATCTTGAGCAACGGCCCTCGAATAGCTTTCTATCGATTGCTACTCTAAGACATTAATGGAGTGCATGACACTGCTCCCAAAACAGGATGTCCAGCCCCACAAGACGCACATTCCGGGTGAAGGGTGAAGGGCCCAGACCAGTCAGATATGGCAGCAATGACCGTTTGACCTCGTGGATTGCAGTGGCTGCCAGGCTGCCACCGCCCTGGCCAGCTTGAATCAGTCACAGAGACATGGCGACAAGACTCAGTGGAGGGTCGTTATGTTTTTGTTCAACAAAAATAAAGGACCGGATAACCCCACATATGAATCTTTACGAATCTTAAGTTTCTAAAGCACAAAGCAGTCAGAGTCTCAATAGCTTCTACAACATGGCCTTGTCAGGAATTATATCCGAATTACACAACAGAGGGGTGGGAGAGAGGTGTGGGAGAGTAATGTGCACGGCGGATGTACGAGATCTACTGCAATTTACACTAAGACAGCGCTGCAGCCGACCAGCGGCGACCGCAGCCGACAACGCAACCGCCAGAGCCTCTAACGGAGCGAGATCTATTGCGTTTTACACCAAGACAGCGCCGCAGCCGACCAGCGGCGACCAGCGGTGATGAGGGGTGTAAGATAAGTGGTGTGTGATAAGTGGTGTGTGATGAGTGGTGT